TTCCTGATGCATATTTAGTTAGTAAAATGTGCATATTTAGTACATAAACAGTGCATGATGCATATTTAGTTAGTAAAATGTGCATATTTAGTACATAAACAATGCATACATAGTTGATATTACTGGTGCATATTTAGTTCATAAGGATAACATATATAATTCAATTATGATGCATATTTAGTTCATACTAAGTGCATACCTATTTTATTTGAGATCCAATCATAACAATTTATTTGTGTTATTAATCAATTTAAAATTAAAATTAATTATATAATAAAAATCATTAATTATTATATTTACTTTAATTGTATAAAATGTATATTTTATTGCATATTTTCGTTGCATATTTAGTTTATTCCTGATGCATATTTAGTTAGTAAAATATGCATATTTAGTACATAAACAGTGCATACATAGTTGATATTACTGGTGCATATTTAGTTCATAAGGATAACATATTTAATTCATTTATGATGCATATTTAGTTCATACTAAGTACATAGTACTGATGCATATTTACTTCATACACAATGCATGCTAAGGGTCAACGGTCAATGTTGAAAGCCAACGTCGGAAGTCAACGGCCGACGTTGGAAGTCAACGGTCAAAGCCGGAAGTCAACGATTTTCGCCGGAAGTCAACGGTCAACGCCGAAGTCAATGGTCAATTGTCAAAATAATATTTAAATAATTAAAATAATAAAATAAAAAAATAAGTAATAAAAAATTAGAATTATTATTTAATTGAAAAGTTAATCTTAGCCACACATAATGTACCAATTTAATGGCTAGGAATGGGTCTCACATTCACACTTTAAATATGTGGACTCATTGGATCTAATCCCTCTATATATATATATATATATAGTTGGGTTCGCATGAGAATGGCTGAAATGAAAATAAATCGGAGCCATTGGACTTGATGATCCAACAGCACAAATAAAACCAAATTTTTATACTCAGTAAGGTTAATTTAGACATTCTTTCAACCAACCCCAGTGGGTCCCACCCAACACATCCCATTCTAACGCTGACTCCTCAGTTCTCTCTCTCACAACCCACTCACCTCAATTATCTCTCTCTCCTCCCAAAACAGACATCCCAGGCAGGCCTGCTCTCTTTTTTTTTCTCTCACTGTATCTGCGGGGTGGAATCTGAATATCGCCGCCGTGTCGTTGATCGCCGGCGGCCGACCGAATTGACTCCACCGTCGCTGTTGGTCGGCAGCTACTATCCTAATCGGCCCAACCAACGCCGGAAGCACCACGAGACGGGAACGGGAACGTCGACAAGCCCGTCGTTGGAGTAGCCCGCAAGATCCACCCTTCTATTGTTCTAGAAAAAATCGACATATAATAGAACATGGACATTAATGGCGGTTTTTTTTTTTTTAAAAACATCATCTCCA